GATAGGTCTTAAGATGAACATGGACAAAACAAAGATCATGTTTAATGTCCATGTCACACCTATGCCGGTAGTTGTTGGGAGCACTATGCTCGAAGTTGTTGACGAGTACGTTTACCTGGGACAAATAGTCCGACTAGGTAAGTCCAACTTCGACCGAGAGGTCAATCGACGGATTCAACTCGGCTGGGCAGCGTTCGGGAAATTACGACACATCTTCTCGTCAGGTATACCTCAATCTCTGAAAACTAAAGTGTACAACCAGTGCGTGTTGCCAGTGATGACTTATGGATCAGAGACGTGGTCCTTCACTGCTGGCCGTATGAGGACGCTCAAGGTCGCTCAGCGAGCTATGGAGAGGGCTATGCTCGGAGTTTCTCTGCGTGATAGACTCAGAAATGAGGATATCCGCAGTAAAACCAGAGTGACCGACATAGCCCAACGGATTAGTAAGGTGAAGTGGCAATGGGCCGGCCATATAGCTCGAAGAACCGATAACCGATGGGGAAGAAAGGTTCTCGAGTGGCAGCCTCGTACCGGTAGGCGTAGTGTAGGGCGACCCCGCACTAGATGGAGTGACGACCTGGTAATATATGCAGGAAGTCGATGGATGCAGGTGGCTCAGGACCGTGCTTTGTGTGCATTGGATGTTACTTGGGGGAGGCTTATATTCAGCATTGGACTTGTGAAGGGCTGTAATGATGATGATGATGATATTTGTAATTTAAGTGTTATATTAATTAGTTTTGTTAAACATAAATTTAGTATATTTTTTTATATTTGACAAAGTTACCTTCTGAATTATTTAGATAAAAGTATAATTAAAATGTAATTATGATATAATATTATGTACGAATTAAATGACAAAATTTTAAATTTGTACCCGATATAATTTACCGATTTAACAATACAAACTATTATATATCATTACCTATACCTATGTTTATTCCATGATAAAAAACCAACCGCGCGAACAGAGTAGAGCACATTTTTTGTTTGAAATAGCTGTTCTAGTACGTAAGTACATATTACTTCAATGAGACTCATAAACGTTTTACTAAAATTATCAGTTGAAACTAATTCGTTTGGATAACTTACTGTTACGCGCTTAGGGTTCGTGGCGATAAAAACTGCCGATTGAATTACCAAAATTGACACTTTAATTGCCGAACATCAATTAAAACTTAAAACACACTAATAATTAATCGCATTGATCGCTTTAGTTCACTTTATTTCACTCCGAAGATTTGCTTGTATGGCCAATTCAATACTGAATCGGTTGCGGCATCAAACGGCCTTATACAGGCCTTTTCCACCGAAACATCCAGAATGTTCCAGTAAATACCGGCCCCGACTGACTAGATGTAGAATATTCGAGTGTGGACTTTTCTATAAAGCTTAATTCCTCTATTAGATACTAGATGGTGCTGTTAGTGGAAAGTTCAGGCATGGCATTTCCTAGAAAACTCTCCTCGCTCTGCTCCCCGAAACTAGATGGCGCTAGTGCCTTCAACTGTGGCGCGCAACACTGCCCCCTCCTAAGACATGCTCGTTCCGAGCATTATCAGCCCCATAATAACGCGCCAGTCGATCCACATAGACGATCTTAGGAGTTCCTCTTGCACCTTTCTTAAACAGCTCCGCAACGTCAAGGTCAGTTCTCTCCCATGGTTCACCAACATACAATTTCAATGCACTTCTACTACGAGTCTGAGGTCCGTTCATAGCCGCACAACTTGTACAATTGCGACACCAATCCTCGACATCGTCACGATAATGGACCCAGTAAAACCGTTCTCGGATCTTCAGTAGAGTACGTTTAACTCTCAGATGGACTCCTGAACAACCATTATGGTACAGCTTTAGAACATCCGGCACTTTAGCTTTAGGGAAAACCATTTGCAAACGACAGCTGTCTCCTCGACCATTTTTCCATTTACGGCACAGGACTCCATCATGAAGCAGCAAGCTGTCCCATTAGGCCCTATAGCTTTTCGTGGTCGAACTCATCGCTGAGACTTCGTTCCACTTGGGCTTGAGAGCACTTGCCTTCCTCCTTTCCAGAATCGGCGTGATGTCCTAATCTTACTGCTGTGCAGGTCGTAGGCTGGCCTTCCATTCGTTGCTGAGGTGGTTTGTCCTGAGAATCCTCACAGATACCATTACCTTACCCGCTTGCCTAGTACTATTCTCACAATCATCAGGATAAGGTCTTCTTGACAATGCATCTGTGTTGCCACGCCATTTCCCGCTGCAGTGTCCGATAGTAAAGTCGTATTCCTGCTGCTGCTGTTAGCCGCACTACCCTTTCGAGATCGATCACCTTCCCTTTTTACAGACCGCTTAGGGCAGCTGGGTCGAAGATGACCCCTTTCCCCACAGCCATAGCTCCTTGGGCTATAACTTTTATTGTGGTTGCGGACTGTAGGTGCTGCAACCTCCCTAACGTGAGGAGAACGATAATCCTGCCGTTGCTGGGTGGTGCCGTTAGCCGCACTACCCTTTCGAGATCGATCAACTTCCCTTTCTACAGTTCGCTTGCAGCTGCTGGATCGAAGATGGCCCCTTTGCCCACAGCCATAGCACCTAGGGCTGTATCCATTATTGCGGTCGCGAACTGTAGCTGCTGCAACCTTCCTGATTAAATAGGAACTATGATCCTGCTGCACGGCTTCAACCTCCAGTGCATGGGCCAAGGCTTCCTTAAGCCTCACGTGGTGCCCGAGCCTCACAGCAGCTCTGACTTAAAGGTCGCTGATGCCATCGATGAATGTCTGCACCAGCTTCCTTTCAATGAGCGCAGGTACAGACTGGTATGTTACTGATATGTTCCTCCTGCTGTTCTCAACTGACGGGCCTTTTGACTACTATTTTCTACAGCGGACACTATTTTCTACAGCGATCGTTTTCCTTCTATCTAACCTCCATGATGTATGCTGTGATGGTTACCAACGTAGACAAAGAATCCTACTGTCTACGGTTACCAAATTCAGGTTAATCGATCGTTGCCAAGTTGGAAAAAAGAATACTGCTCTACGTAAAAAAGATAAAAAAATTAAAATTAAAGTAGTATTATCTATACTATAGCCTTCTTTCCAAATTTCCAATAATTATTCTATTAACCCCATGAATTCTATTCACCCCGTTTTACGGTAAGTGATATTCTTTGATCATTGGTTAGATGCCTAAGCATCATATTTTTTAGTCTGTATTGGTAAGTGATGACAATAGAGGTTAGAGAACAAAAGAACGATCGCTACAACATGCTAAAGCATAGCCCGCTTGTCCCTGAAAATTTGTAGAATTCATAGCCGTGCTGCCGTCGGTAAGTAGTATATCTGCGAAGTATTTTAATTACTGACAAAAAGAAACATTAAAAAATGGTGAAATAATATAAAAAATAATAATAAATCAATAATAATTAATAATTTATATTTTTTTATATTATCATTCGAACTATTAGCGGAAACGTTGAGGCAAGTGCTTTGATGAGGTGAATCTTATAATGATGTGTATGCTTAGGCGTTCTGAGATACTGTCGTCATCGACTGTCTGCTGGCTCAAGCTGCCTTCAAACTCTCCCAAAAACTTCGCAATGTGACGGGATAAGGTTTACAATTCGATCGCCTGAATTATGGGGTGGGGGGTGTGGAGGGAGGGGGAGGAGTTGTAGAGTCACCCCCTACTTCCCCTTCCTGCCGGACTTGCTTAGTTTTTTTTATAAATTTTTAAAAATGTCATTTTGAGGTTATGTTTCGTAATTTTATGACAATTTTAACCTAATTAATGGGGAGAGAGAGTTGGGGGACGGAAGCCCAATGTCACTTAACGTGGTGCAGTCGAGGAGGGAAGCCCGGTCGACGGAGCCCCACTTTGCGGGGCTCCTACTTCTGAGTGGGTTTACAAAAAAATAACCACGAAGGGGATGACGGGGTCTATTCGTCATCCCCTTCTAACCTAACCTGTCCGAGTCGGGATACCCCACGTCCTAGGCTCGCTTCGCTCGCAATCCACCCAATATAACACCAAAACATTAATTTTTATAACTACTTGAATTTATAAACATAATTTATGGCTGCCACCATTTGTAAGAAAGGATCTTTGCGATATTTAGCAGTATTCTGCCGCCACAAATATTCCACTATTCACAAAAATTATGAAACTCGGAAGCAACGGCATGACGAAAACTGTCAACAAAATGGCCGGCCTAGCGATTAATTTTGCACATTTTTAAATCGATTCAAATCGAAATTGGATGAATCGATTCACAAAAAATCGAAATCTTAAAGATTTATTTCGCAAAAATGGATCTTTTTTGATTTGCGTTAAAAGTTTATATTTACAATATCAAAAGATACAATAAAGTACATATAATATTGAATAATTGAATTAAAAACTGTCATTCTTTACGAGTCAAATCTTAATAAAACAGAAAAAATTTCGATTTCGATTCTCTAGGGTGAAATATCGATCCACTAGATCGATTCAGTACTATATATCGATGTGACATTGACAGATGAAACGTCAAAAACGTAATTAATTAGTCATTTACCAATATTTTTAAAAAATAATTAAAAATACTTCGACGCTGCTCCGGCAGCAAAAATCGAGTGAGGGTGCTTCAGATAAACCCCCTTGACACCCAACCCATGTGACGTATCAACATTCTGTGAAGAATCTCTAAAAACGAAGATCGCAAATGAAATGAAGACACGGCTTAAAAGACAAGCATCCAAGCTAAAGTTATTACAGGTATTAGCCAAGTATCAGCTGATAACGTAGACAGAGAAGATAACCTCAGTTGACCTCAGCTGATAACTGATATGATCTTGACCAATAACCATTAAAAAAAAACTAAACTGTCAAAAATCAAAATAGACGTGACAACTAATATTTAGAAATTTCATAAAATCGTTGAAAATTGGCTGACGCACAAACCGTGCAGGCCAAGAAAGGGAAAAAAATCGTTGAAATAATTTATACAACAGTATATATTTAATAAAATGCTATATAAATTATTTTCTGTCTCTAAAATTCGAACCTTAAGATGTAGTGCTTATTTTTCAACGTCAGCATTGCCCAAGGTACATTGTATTTTAATTTCTTAACATTGGTCATTATTTATTATATATTAATTTCATACAATTTTGTTGAGCTATGTAGGATTGATAAAATATTACCATTAGGCCGTGCAGTGGCGAAGAGGATTCACCCCCCATATCATCACTTGGGTGTCGTAAGAGGCGATTCCGAAAACTTATAAAATTAACCTACTATAAAGAACCAACCAACGTTAATTTTATTTTTTATTTTATTCATCACTACGTAAAGTAGGTACATAAAACGCTATTATAATTAGTTGATTTTCTAGTAACACCTACAAGAAATACAATCGAATTGAGTAAATAAACAGACAAAAATTCGAAAAATGCTGAAAATGACTTCTGTTGGTTTAATTTAAATACTAGACCGAGTTTCATGTATTTAACCTACATATTGAAACAAGATGGTAATGTTTAAATTTACCTTTACTACCAACGATCATCATCATTCATCATCATTTTAGCCCTTCACAAGTCCACTGCTGAACATATCCTCCCCCCCAGAAATGCCACAAAACACATTCCTGATCCACCTCCATCTATCGACTTCTTACATGTCTTACTAGGTCGTCACTCCATCTAGTGGGGGGGGGGGCGCTCTATACTTCATCTACCAGTATCCTCATTTCTAAGTTTATCACACTCAGAAACCCCGAGCATAGCCCTCTTCATAGCTCGCTGAGTGGCCTTGTAAATGACATAAGGGGAAATTTTTTACATTTTGATAGTATTGTTCAGCAAATTCACCAAACGAATACTTCTTACAAGCGAAAGTATATACAATACTGATAACAAAAAACAGTTTTTTTTTATCAGCATTGTATATACTTTGTATTGTCTATCTGTCTGTCTGTTTGTTCAGGCTCTGAAATGGTTGGACCAATTTTGATAGGACTTTCACTGGCAGTTAGTTGATGTTATAAGGTGTAACTTAGGCTACTTTTATTTAAGAAAAGAATAAGGGTTCCGCTAATAAAAATTAAAACTCATGAAAATCAGTTGTAATAAATTCCAACTAACCACTAGATGGTGTGACGACTTGATAAGACATGCGTGAAGTTGTTGGATGCATGTGGCTCAGGACCGTGCTTTGTAGCATTCCTTGGGGGAGGCCTATGTTCAGCAGTGTTTCAGCAGACTTGAAGCCGTGTAGCCGACTTAAGAGAATTTATCACACCATATCATCTGTGGGATAATTATAAGAGTTGTAATCAGATGAAGCTGTAAGAGCCAAATAAGATAACAGCCCTAACATCACAGAATAAAGGTAAACTTCTGGTAAATCCAAATGTGTATGTTTATGCGTGTCAATCTTCCTGATAACAATAGAAAATAATAAAAAAACTGTGATTTTCAGTGCTCCTGTAAAGCGTGACAACTATTGAATATTCCCCCAATGAGGAAAGCTATGAGGAGACCTATGTTCAGCAGTACACTTGATATGCTGTAATGAATAAATAAAATGAATGTCAATTACTCTAAATATATAGGTAGTTAATTAATTTTCAGGAAGAAAAGATTAAAGTTGGAAAGTACAATATTAATTATTTACAAGTAGGAAATGGACCACATCATGTTTTTTGTATGCCTGGTGCTCTAGGAACAATTTGGACAGATTTCAAACCACAAGTGGAAGGATTAAATAGAGAAAAATTTACAGTAGTAGCATGGGACCCTTTGGGTTATGGTAAAAGTAGACCACCTGACAAGGAATTTACACCAGACTTTTATGAAAAAGATGCAGATATAGCTTACGAATTGCTTAAGGTATTTATATCTAGTTAAAACTGATTTGGTTCAAACCAGTCTTGAATACAGATGCAAACTGCAAAAAAGGAGGCTGCTTGGTTGGTCAGGTCTCTTGTATCACACATTTATTGTAAAATATGTATAGGAATTATATAATTCTATTCCTCTACTCTTTCAAATTGCTCTTTTCAATTGAGCATCTTGTCAAAAGAGCATACATTTAGAAAAAATGATTGGCTACATCATTTATGTATTAACAGAGAAGGGTAATAATTCACCGGTACACATTTTGCAGTCCAAATAATTAACAATGAGAGCATCTTCAAAGCAAGAATGAGAACTTGTGCAGGAGTTCATCTAATAGGTATCAACCTCTTATCTATTTCTGCCACAAAGCAGCTGTGAACCAATTTTTTTAGGGTGATAAATGAGCTCACAGTTAACCTGATGGTAAGTGGATGCTGCGACATTTATCCTTGATTTAGAATCACAATGGAGATGCATTATCACCCTTGAGGACTAACATGGAATGCCTCATTTCCAGTAGTTTTACTTTCCATTTCCAGTGAGAAGGATCTTTAGTTGTCTACACTCACCACGCTGGTATTCTGTGAGAGTGTTGTGCTTCCCTGGTTGAGCCGACCCATTCGTTCTACAACCATAATATAGCTGCAGTTTGGTTCTACGATGTATAAAATAATAGTATTCCAGCTGTGAACCAATTGTATTCTGGTTGTAATGGTAAGTGAGCCAGCATGATTATAGACAGGCAGGCATTTGTACTTTAACATTGGAATAGCAGTGGTCTGGGGGTGGTATGGTATTTTAGATATGAAAGTTAGCTCATCCCTTATCTTTTTAAATGATGATAGTAAATATCTCGAAAATGCTACGGCGTGGCTCTACGATGCATAAAATAATTGTATTCCAGCTGTGAACCAATTGTATTCTGGTTGTAATGGTAAGCGAGCCAGCATAATTATAGACAGGCAGGCATTTGTACCTTAACATTGGCATAGGAATGGTCTGTGGGTAGTATTTTGGGAATGAAAGTTAGTCCATCCCTTATCTTTTTAAATGATGATAGTAAATATGTGAACTTTATCCGAAACTTTTGATGTAGATATTAAAAACACCATAGCATTGCAAGTTCTAAAAATAGAGATGATTTGCACATCTGCACTTCCAAGGATAGGCTTAAGTATAAAAAATATATTGCAGTTATACTGTTTTCATCATTTTTAAATAATGTAAGTTCAACATACACAAATAATATACAAATCTGTAGAAGACTTTTGATTTTTATAACCATTAAGTATATTTATTTTAGTAACAACAACTTGTTATTCTTCTCAATAGACACTGATAAAATAAGAGTAGTAGATGCTATTAACATACTATAGTTCTCTTTGTATTAAAGGCAGTATATTATTGATAGCTATTGAAAATTCCAACATTTTCAATATTGGGTTGGAGTGATGGTGGAGTATCCGGAATGATTCTTGCTGCTAAATATCCCAGAGCAATCAACAAACTTGTTATATGGGGAAGTAACTCATTCATTTTACCACATGAAGTTGAAGCATATAAAAGTAAGTTGTGATTTGAGTAAATTATGATTTGTTTTGACATTAATAAAGTGCATTCTTTATTAGTACATCAAACTCCCTTTCCCCCAAGCAGTGGTTCAGCTGTGGGCTGTGTGCGACTGTATTCCCCAAAAAAATTCTTGCTTTAGCTTTCCATGGTGACTACAGTCACCAAACGACATTGTTTGGTTTAAATGTGTAGTGCTAAAAATAGATGTTAATAATACAGTAGAAAATAATGATGGTGCTATTTGAAATTTGTCATCCATGAGAGTGAATTTTATCTGTGTATGGGAAACAAAATATTTAGAAAAAAAAGTGAAAATAACACGTAGACAGAGAAACCTATAGACTAATGATTAGCGTGGCCTCGAGTGAGAAAGGACGATAACGTAGTTTTAGGTTATACAATAATCTTTATGACTTTTAAATATATTTAGATAAAAATCTTGTTCAGTTCAGTTCTTATGAACTGAACTGATCAAGATTCACCAACCTTGAGCTCACAAAACACTTTTTTTATCACTTAAACCAACTTGTAAACTCCTTAGATTGCTACGAATTGTCAAAGTTGTTTAGCAAAGTGTAGTTTGCTAAACAAAAAAACCGGCACGGAAAAATGGACAAACAATTACACCGCTCTGTCTCATTTCTATGCAAGACGTATGCATAAATCTATCTTTTTCGTGTGCGAATGCGAAAGAAGGTGTCAATTTGTCTATAGGTTTCTCTGTCTACGAAATAACAGTTCGTCCATGGCGGTTAGAGAACAGGAGAACGATCGCTGCAGAAAATAAGTGAGGCGCTGTGATCACTAAGTTGTCTCAATAAAAAGCGGGCTGTTGTGCGCTAGTTTGAAATGATTATAATATCATTCAAAGAAAAAATAACGAAATTATTATTATTTATTAATAAATAAGTTATGAATTATGTTTTTCATAATTTTAATTATTATAAATATCATAAATTATTACAAATATAAATTATAAATTTTTGGGGTATCTATATAGTTTTCTCATCTGGTTGGGTTCTATATATAATTATAAATTAAAACGAAAATATAAATATATATAAATGTCAATAAAATAAAATACATAAATAATAAAGAATGATATATCGGAAATATTTTGTTGGTCATTTAGCGTCTATCCACGCAACAATTATAGTAGGAACGACGTTTTGCCATATTAAAATTTATTAAATAATGAGTAATATACATAATATATGGTTCTTAAATTACATTAAAACTTTTGAACTATTTTATCCTATAATTAAATATACTAAACACCAAACAAAAACTATTTCAACAATATTTACAAAAAGTTATATACGTAAACAGCGTTAAAAAAAACTTTAACATTCAATCGCCTCCAACGCGCTAGCCCTGACTGCGTTATTTCGCCCCGGCCGCGTCGCGATTTTTGGTAATTATTTCACGTAGGTAGCAAGAGTGATAGAGGCCTGCTACTGTCTACTAATTCCCGCCGAAACTAATCCATATTGCGTAGTTCGTATGTCCTTGATCCTTGCGGTAGTCGCGGCGGGCGGCCAAGCGGGATTTTTCCACATGTTAGACTTGAAAATTGCGAGGCGACACGGGTTGGCCGGGTGTATTTATTCTGTCGTTTCGTATTCGTACCGAGCTAAATAAAAGAGTTCAGCGTCCGCGCGTTTATTGACCTTATAATTAGCTGGTACCATTTTAATTTTCACTGCTGGTTTTATTTTTCAGTATTTTCATGATTTTTTAATGAAATTATTGTTTCATTTAGCTGTACTAACATGATGGAGCGTGAATAAAGCTAATAAAACATAGTGAAAAGATGATTTTTTTTTCATTGGGATCGATTTTAACCTGGTCCCATCGTCAACGGTATCGTTAGTACTATAGTCTGTCTTCGTTAAGTCGGTAAGGAGTGCGACCGGGACAGTTTTGAATTGGCGATACAAGCGAAGACTTGGGAGCGAAATAAAGTGAACTAAAGTGTTAAGTGTGATTAATTATTAGTGTGTTTTAAGTTTTAATTAGTGTTCGGTAATTAAAGTAGTGTCAATTTTGGTAATTCAATTGGCAGTTTTTATTGTCACGAACCCTAAGCTCGTAACAATATTTACAAAATAATCTTTAAATTTTATTATTTCGGGTAGACTGTTCTCAGAGCATTTATCATTATTATAATAAGCGCCCTCTGTTATCCAGTAACGTCACTGTTTATATACCAATGTGTTTTTTTTTCATAGGATAAGCGTGACAAACGAGCACACAGTCCACCTGATAATAATTCTAAAGTAATGGTAAGATATCTACATATAACCTCGCTTAAGAATCAAAATTCAAATGCGTTGTCACCCTTGAGGACTAAGATGAAATGTCTCGATTCCAGTAAAACGGGTCTCCGGTTCTCTACACTCACCATACGAAACACAGCAGCACTTAAGCTGCTATTTTACGCTGATATTCTGTAAGAGCGTAGTCCTTCCTCGTTCGAGCCGACTCATTCATGCTACAACCATAATATAGCTGCAGCGTGGCTCTACCACGTATAAAAGTGATTGATGACGTGCCTAAAACGAATTTTTACGTTATATTTAGTAGTCGTCTAATGGGGCACAAATATCTAAAATGTTTTTGAATCTTTTAAATCTCTTTGTTCAATCTAAACTAGACTTCCAACGAATATTCGGCTCTTTTTCGGTATTCGGCTACTTTTTTCTTATTCGACCGAATTCTGAACTTGAGTAAGATGTTTTGTTGTAGTGTGATAAGTCTTTGACTCGGTTACTTTGTACGGAGTACGGTATTTAAAACTTGACTGACGGCAGTGATAATTGATAAAATAAAAATATTGATTTATTTTATAATGATGTTTTTTATTATAATCATTAAAGTAGTCACAGGTACTTCCGTATTATGAAAAATAACAAATAAACTATCAGATAAATGTCTATGCACTTGATTTGTCATAATTAAAGAGGAAGATATTAGGTGATATATAGGCGATTTGAATAAAAGACAGTATTTCCTTCCCGGCCGAATATTTTTGCCTAATATTGGGCTCGGCCAGGAAGCCAGCAAAATATTCGGTATTCGATGTGTGGCCGAATATACAATTAGTTGCAAGTCTATGGATGGGAGACTAAAAGTGGTCCAAGTAGCTCGCTACTCTTTGGAATCTGCTTATCCCCTCGAGGATTACAAGCGTGACGCTATGTATTAAAATAATTTGTTAACTTGCAGAAATAAAGGACATAAAGTTGTGGTCGGACAGAATGCGACAGCCAATGATAGATATTTATGGCGAGGAGAATTTTGCAAAGTATTGGGCGAATTGGATTGACGGCATGGCCTTAATATTACAAACGAAGAATGGCAACATTTGTTCTGAACTGCTGAAAAATATCAGTTGTCCGACACTTATATTATATGGGGAAAAGGATCCCATGGTCGATAACGTTCATGTATCACATTTACATACTAATATTGAGGGATCAAGGTAACTATTTTCTTTTAACTATTTTAAAAAGAGACTTCGCAGCACATGGGCTAAGCTTTTGTTGTAAATTAAATTGTTCGCGATCAGCCCAGATTCGATTCTTATCAACTTTAGTTTTATTGTTAGTTCCAATTTAAAATTTAAATGTTAATTTAACACTTTGATTAGGGGCCATTCATTAATTACGTAAGAAAAATTTTGGCGATTTTGTCCCCGACATAAGGGCACATAAGAGTTTTCAAACTACCCCCGCCCCCTCCTTCTTCTTACGTAAGATTCGATAACGTTGTTCATAATAATAAAATATTGTTAGAAAAGGATCAGTTACACTAAAAACTCACAGTTTGACGTATATACAATAACTTTAGTGGCATATCATTATTACAATTAAAACTTAGTTTTTAAATAATCTGAAAGTGAGTGAACACAAATATGTTGAACAATCTACAAACGAATAATGGTGACCACACACGATCAAAGTCATCATTCGAACTGATATCAGCTCGAACAGATTTAAGCCAAAGAAATTTCCACACACACGGTCAGTTCAACTGATCATAAGAGTGAACATAAATCAGTTAAACAATCTACAAACGAATAATACGTACCTACTTTTAAAATAATGATCGACTAGTTTTCAATTAATCTTAAAGAAATTAAATTACGCAGTAAAAGCTAGATAAAGAGATCATCAATCGTGTGGACTGAATGGAGTAGTAAGCCATATTGTCCAATCGGAAACAATTGGTACCTAACTCATCAGATGTAGTGATAGATGAAACTTCATTTAGCACGTCTATTGACACCTCATCTTCCTCTAGCCACTCTTCATTTTCGCTATCGGTAGGAGGATGGACACATTTATGTCGCGCTTCGCAATTTTTGGTGCGATTCGCTGAGAACGTCTACAGTTGCTGTTGGCAGACTCTGCTCAAACAAGACTGTTGTTCGCGGGAATGACATACACACCACACACACACACAAACGCACGTAACGCACGCACGCACACACACGCGCACACTCACGAGCACACATACACACACACGCACACGCACGCACGCGCACCAACGCTCGCGCTGGCACGTACGCGCACGCACGCACGCACACACGCGTAAGCGCACGCGCCCACGCGGACGCACGCAACGCACGCGCCGCCACGCATGCACACGCGCGAACGCGCCTGCGCTCACGCGGACGCACACGCACGCACACACACGCACACACACGCACACACACGCACACACACACACACACACACACACACACACACACACACACACACACACACACACACACACACACACACACACACAACCACATACACACACAGAGTTTTAATATTAAATTTCGGCTTGCAAAATATTACTGTTGCACGCCACAGTTGATGGCACTAGCGCCATCTGGTATCAAGTATCAGAAACAGGAGTGTCAAGATCTTTTTGAAACCCTCCCTACAGCGCCATCTAGTAACACATGGAAGAATTAAGCTTTCTAGAAGCCCCACACTCGAACTTTCTGCGCCTGGTCGGTCGACCCGTATTTGCTGGAATATTCTGGATGTTTCGGTGGAAGAGCCCTATATAAATTGAAATAATACTAATTTTTACGGAATTTATCGCGTATATTTAACATACATAAACACTCACGCCTGTCACCCAGAGGGGTAGGCAGAGACTACAGACTTCCATTTGGCACGATCCTGACACACCTCTCTTGCCTCCTTCACATCCATACACCTACGCATACATGCTCGTCGGTTAAGGGTACTCCTAATTTGGCCAGTTTTCAATAAATCGCCAATTTGGTCGATAAATTTTCGCCTAGGACGTCCCTTTCCGACTGTGCCATTCACTTCTGCACCATAAATTTCACTCTTTCCTCATTCATTCTTTCCACATGACCGAACCACCGAAGCATTCCTTTCTTAATCCTGGTCACAACATCATCTTGCAAACCACACTCTTCTCTTATTATACAATTTCTTACCCTGTCATTCAGATTCAGCCCTAACATACTCCTTAACGACCGCATTTCTACTGCGTTTATTCTACTCTCGTGCTTCTTCTGCCACACCCAACTTTCACTACCATACGTTAAATTAGGGACCAACACAGCATTGTGAATTGCTATACGTGCCTTTTTCGACACATTTTGACTCTTCACAATAGAGTGCAAGGCCCCATTTACTCTATTTCCCGCATTCACTCGTCGTTCTATATCCTTATCATATCTCCCATCCCTGCTAAATACGCAGCCCAAATATACAAACTCATCTACTTGCTCGATCAACTCCCCTTCTATTCTTATTTCACAAATCGTTTTACTTTCTTCTCTTTCAAAAACCATAACCTTCGTCTTACTTGCGTTCACTTTCATTCCCCTTTCTTTTAATGATCCGTTCATTAATGTAACCATCATTTGCAACTCGGCCGCCGACGACGCAAGAATAACTTGATCATCGGCGTACAAAAGGCATTTGACGGTTAACTCACCCATTCTTAATCCGCATTCTTCAACTTTCAAATTTTGCAAACAACTGTCCATAAATAGGTTGAACAGCCACGGGGAAGCCACACAGCCCTGTCTGACACCTTTATGGATGTCAAACCAGTCCGAGTAGACCCCGTTGATCCTAACACAAGCACTAGAGTCCCCATAAAGAGACTCCAATGCCTGTATCAAGCCAGCGCTCAACCCAAATGAGTTCAGTGTTTGCCATAGCAAATCCCTATCCACTCTGTCGTAGGACTTTTCCAAGTCCATGAACGCACAAAAAACCTTTTGGTTTTTGGCCAGAAACTTCTCCGCGATCATGCGCATGGAAAAGACTTGATCTGTACATCCCATTCCCTTTCTAAATCCCGCTTGCACTTCCCAAATTTTTCCATCAGTTTCTTTCATGACCCTTTCAATCAGTACCTTAGCATACAGTTTTCCCACAATGCTAAGAAGGCTGATGCCACGGTAGTTTTTACAGTCCTGCTGCGACCCTCTTCCTTTATATACTGGGACTATCACGGCTTTGCACCAGTCTACTGGTACCCGCTTCAGTTCCCAGCATAAATTAAACAAGGTGTGCAGCAGGCCTGCCACGACTTCCTCTCCAGCCCTTAGCATTTCGAGTGAAACTTTATCATATCCGGCAGCCTTACCTGCTTTCATGCTTTTCATTGCTTTCATTATTTCATCTATACTTATCTCGCTACCTCTTTCCTCTTCTTTCGGAGTTTCTACTTCACTTAGTATACACGTTGTCTCCTCACTCATAAACACGCTTTCAAAATATTCCTTCCATCTCTTTAAACTCAAAACTTCGTCATTCAGAATTACTCCATTCTCGTCTCTTATAGCATTCATCATAGGCTGTTTTGAATGTCCCCTGGCAGTTCTTACAAGTTTCCAGAACATTTTAATATTTGCCTGGAAGTTATCCGATATTCTTCTATCATTCTTATCCGTTCTTTCTTGCTTTTTTCTTTCAACTAATTCTTTTACTCTCTTATTAAGATGTTTAAAGACTGCCTTTTTTCTTTCAATATCACCATTCGTACCACTAGAATTAGCAGCCTTTGTTGCTAGTATCTCATCATCCCACCATAACGTATTATTTTTCCTTTCATTCTTTCTCTTACTAACACCACAGTAGTAGTGACATCCTTCCCCTTCCTTTTCGTCTCATTTACGCATAACACATCTTCCTCTATCATACATCATATCGCATACTTCATCCATTTTATCATTCATTGCCCCACATACATTCAACGTAGCCAGACGGGCCTCTGCAATCCACTTTTCGCCTCTCCGAGAGACAGAACGTGACGGGTGGCGAACCGCCGTCGCCGGTTTTCCTCCCGGAGATTCTTCGCACCCCTGCCCCATTAAAGGGGCGCCGGGAACTCCGGGGCCATTTCTTTAATTCGATTCCTCATGGTGCGAAATAGGGTGGTATATTTAACGCCGCTACCACGGCGTGGAGCCGAGTCTGTGGTATCGGCTTGTCGCTCATTTAGCACCACCCGGGGGACACGTGTAGGGTGGGCCTAGGAACAGGTGGTCAAAGCCTACGGACGCGAGCGACTTATCCCCCTCAAAGCCTACGGACGCGAGCTACTTATCCCCCCGACTTAGCCGACCACAGTCGAGCGTGTACCTGCTGTACTGCCATATGTTAGAGGAGTCACTGACAAGATTGGCTACATCTTGAAGCGCGCTTCCATCAAAACATACTTCAAGCCGCCGAAGAAGATTGGTCAGTTTTTACCATCAGTCAAGTGTAACGTCCCTCTGCAGGATGCAGGAGTGTACAAGCTTGATTATGAATGTGGTCTCTCCTACATAGGACAAACTAAAAAATCAATTAAAACCCGCGTTAAAGAACATATAGCTGATGTGAAGAATCGACGCTCCGGGAAGTCTGCAGTTTGTGAACACTTACAGGATCGCCCCCTGTCACTACATCAGATTTGATAGACCACAAATCCTCGCTAAAGAACACCGATTCCTCCCAAGGATGATTCGCGAGGCTATTGAAATCAAAAAACATCCTAATTTCAATAGAGAAGATGGCTGGGTGCTACCATCTGCTTGGGAGCCTATAATAAATAAAATTAAATCCCAACCCAAGCATACAACTGCAAGACTTCATGATACCATAAGTTCATACTGCGTAGATCGGAACAAAAGTTAAATTTTAATATATGGTAACCGCGGTTAACTATGACATCTGGACGTTGAACATCTCAGTCCTTCCCGTGACCATGGGTGCTGTAAAGCTCTCGAAACGTCGGGTATTTAAAAAGTTAAATATACGCGATAAATTCCGTAAAAACTAGTATTATTTCAATGTGTAGTGTTCGCGTAAATATAAGAAATCATTAGCCCTATATAAAGCTGTTGATAGCCGCGATCGGGGCAGTATTGAATTTGGCGAGACAAGCGAAGCTTCGGAGCGAAATAAAGTGAACTTAAGTGTTAAGTGTGATTAAGTTTTAATCGGTGTT